ATTTTAAGGGAAAGACAGCATTTCACTTTAAAACTTTCTCTCACATTGTAGTATTGTATTTGAAGAATTATTATAGCTACATACTTAGGTACAGTTCATCCCTGCCATGATTTTCTCTGGTTCATTTACCATATCAAGCCTGTAATAAATAGATGGTAAAAGCTACAGGAGGAAGATATGATTATATCTCGACACCATTAGTAACCAAAACCCAATACAGAAACAAAAGTAAGAAAGAAATGGAAAGAGGTCATGTTAGTTAGTCATGTTAGTTACCTGGCTAGTAAAACTTTCCAGGTCTCCTGGCTTAAACAGAATTAACTCCTCTTCCAACTCAAGTATGCTTTTAAGAGCAAGGGGATAGAGCACTGTCTTCGTTAATGTTTAACTGATGTGAACAGACACCATGACCAAGGCAAGTCTTATAAAGGACAACATTTAATTGGGGCTGGCTTACAGGTTCAGAGGTTCAGTCCATTATCATGAAGGCAGGCATGGCAATGGAGGAGCTGAGAGTTCTACATCTTCATCTGAAGGCTGCTAGGATGAGGGTCTTAAAGCCCACACCCACAGTGACACACCTACTCCAACAAGGCCACACCTACTCTAACGAGGCCACAGCTTCTAATAGTGCCACTCCCTGGGCCAAGCATATCTAAACCATCACAAGCATTGTTGTAGCTCTAGACTGTAAACTGATCAGGAGAGACAGGAGCAGCAGGCAATTTACTGGGGGGATGTGGGGGTGACCTGCCTGGATTTAGGATCACCTAGGAGACACACCTATGAGGGACTTCGCAGAGAGGTTTACTGGAGTGGGAAGACCCATTGGGAATGTGAACAGCACCAGACCAAATAAAGGTGAAAAGCCAGCTTAGATCAGCATTCATCCCTCTCTGCCTCCTGACTGTGGGTACCATGTGGCCAACTGCCACAAACTGCAACTACTGCTAATCCATTGTAGCCTCCTTTCCTGGCCATGATAGTCTGTGCCCTTGAACCCTTCCTTAAGTAAACTCTTCCTTAAATTGCTTTTGCCAAGAATTGTCACAGCAATAAGAAAAGTGACTAATATTAGCGTAAAGGGAACAAATAGATGCTATGTGTGGAAGCATGACCCTTCTCGTCCTGTCTAAGTTAAACGAGAGGACTGAGAGTTTATTCCTTTTACCAGTGTCGTCTTCAAGCACATTTATCAGACTCATGTTACCTAAGTAATATTTACTATGGGTCAAGAATAACTAAGCAGCTATCTTTGATTCATGTTTTAGTTTTTAATCTAAATTTTAATGAGATTGCTTTTGCGCAAGCAGGGGATAAAGCCCATAGTATTTCAATAAAGGAATGCTCCAGGCACCTGGCATGGAGCTGTTGTTAGCTTCTGCAGTCAGGCCCACTCCACACCCTGGAAACCTACCCTGGGCTCCCGGGGTCTTAACCCTGGGATGTTAAAAGAACAAATTGACTACAGAAATTATAGGCTCTAATTTTACTTTCCTAAATTCAGCCAACTTTCTAGAGATGCTGTTCTACTTTGGTAAGCTATATGTAGTTTTCCTTCCATTTCAAAGCAGAAAATGTACTCTTCACTGCTAAGATAAACTAATTAATTACTTATAGATTAGAAACATCACCAGGGTTCCAGAATGTTAAAGTTTTGGCCTTGAGATTAGCACTAATGCTTTACTTTGTGAATTCAGTTATCCTGCAATCTCTACCTAAAGTTTTAACTCAATGAGCTAAATCACAAGAATAGTTATAATTTCTATTTTATCATAGTGATCTAAGAATGAATAAAATAGTACGTGTAGAACAACAGAGGGCTAGGGTTGTAGCCTGGTTTTATATTATTTGCTTATGTACATAGTCCCGGGTTTAGCACCAATAAACAAATAGACAATTAAAAATGCAATAGTACATAGAAGTTACTTTGAAGTTTATAACAAGAGGGACATAAAAATCCAAGGAAATGACCTGGAGAAATGGTCAGCAATTAAGAGAAGAATACTGCCTGCTTTTCCACAAGATCTGGGTTAGGTTCCCAGCATCCACATGGCTCACAAACATCCGTATCTCAGTTTAAGAGAACCAACACTTTCTTCTGGCTTCCACAGACACCAGGAACTCAAATGGTGCACAGACACACATGTGAGCAAAGCAGCTATACACATAAAATAAAAATTCCAAAACATTTTTTACAAGGATACGAGAAGTAATATTATTAAGTTGGATTATGTTTGTGCTATTTCACCATAAAATATGACTCAGGAGTTGAGAGACTGAATACAGCTGTGTGTAGAGTATTTCACCAAGTCAATCAGGAGAAATTTGCTCCTCTTCTATTTTTATTTCTGTGTTCTAGGTCTTGAATCCAGGGTCTTGAACATGCTAATGCAAGACCTCTACCACTGAACTACATCCCCAGCTCAAGAGGAAACTCTTAGTGAATATGGTAAATAGGTTCAGGATATTTTCTTTTGGTAGTGACACATATTAACAAAATGCTGTGTTCTGGGGCTGGAGAACTAGCTTAGTGGTTAAGAGTACTTGTACTTTCAGAGGACGTAAGTATGGTTCCCAGGATCTACATGTAGTTCTTCATGATCTTTAATTCCTGTTCCAAGGGACCCACTTTCTACTTCCGAGCTTCTTGGGCACTAGGCACCCTCATGGTGCACATATATACATGGAGGCAAAATACTCATACACATAAAAATAAAATATATAATCTAAAAAATATTTTAAGATAATATATTCTGTAAGATAGAGAAACAAATAATGATGAGAAAAAGAAAAGCAATCCCTCAGCCTGGCAGCCATGTGTCCCTTGTTATGGGTGAAGGCACACCCTTTGTAGACCAAGTCTATCCTTTTCTCTCTTCTGCCTCCTTTCCTCCCTCCTCTTCTTAAGAAGATTTGAGTTGAAAATGTGTCCTCATCAGAAGTGATATAAAGGGAATAAGGGCTTGATTCATGTTGTTCATGCTTTTCTCCTGATGAGGTATTATAACCCTGTATGATTATCTAAATGGGAATGTAACTGATATCCTGAATAGAAAAATAATTCTGGCCAAGTAATTATATTTCCAAGAAGTCTAGCACATGTTTCTTTATATTTTATTGGATCCTTTAACATTTTTATTTTTTATTTTTATTGTGTGTGTGCATAGTGTATGGAGGTAGACATCTATATAAAAGTCAGAGAATGACCTGGTTAGTTTTGTTGTCAACCCTACACAACTTGAAGAATTGCCTCCATCAGATGGCCTGTGGACGTGTCTGTGAGGCCTTTTCTTGATTGTTGATTGATGTAGGAGGGCCCATCCTACTACGGGGGTGCCATCCCTAGTAAGTGTGCCTGGGCTGTATAAGAAAGGCAGCTGAAAGTGAACCTGGAAGAAAGCCAATTGGCAGCATCCCTCCATGTACTCTGCTTCAGTTCCTACCTCCAAGCTCCTGCCTTGGCTTCCCTCAGTGATAGACTATAACATGTAACCTAAATAAGCCTCTTTCCCCCTGCGTTTTCAGTTGTGGCATTTATCACAGCAACAGAAAACAAACTTGCGCTGAGGACAGTTTTGTGAAATCAGTTCTCTCCTTTTGGGGATGCTGAGAGTAGAATTCAGGTTTTCAGGCTTGTAGGACAAGTGCCTTTACATAGCAGAGGCATCTTACTGGCCCATCTTTTATTTCTGTTTTCCATTTCCCTATAATCTTCCAAAAGTAGAGATTGTTTCTTCCAAAACTTTAAAACTCCCAAACTGAAACACAATGGCAGGTGTATAGTAAATGCTGAAGTAGCATCCCTTAAGTGTTTTTAAAAGAAGAAAGCAGTGAGTTAGCCTACAGTCTTTGAAACCCAGCCTTCCCATAAAGCCACTTCCTGTGAGGTCGCTTTCTGTTTGATCTCATACTTTAGAGCTCCTGACAGGTTTGTCATTCCCAGCTAAGGGTCCTATGCCCTCTCAGGAGTCCCACAGCTTCATGGAAATCATTAAACCAGAAATCCTGCTAAAGTGTGGGGAGAGATTGGCTGAAGAATACAAAGCTCACTGGAATACAGTGGGAAGAGCACATGCAGCTGGGGAAGAGTTGGCCATAGACTTCCTGTGGAATGTAGTCCTGAAGTAGGCAGAGCAGGGGCAGCAAGTAAAGACAGGGAAGTTAATATGAGGACAGGAAAATGTGATATAGTGTGGTTGGTGTCGATGCCAAGAAATGACAACAGAGGGATCTAGAAAGAACAGAATGGCTTCTCTTTGTTTGATTGTTTGTTTGTTTGTTTGTTTGTTTTTATGAGGATAGAGTATATAGACAAGAACTGAGTGGAAGTGATTTTCTCCTCAGACCTGGATCGTGAATAAAGCGTGCTCTGGTGGCTTGGTAGATCTTGTCTAATTTGCTGTTGCCTACATAGGCACATGAGGGCTGGAAATCTCTAGGCCTACTCATCAAAACCTTAATAACATGATAAGTGGTAGCCAAGATAAACTAGTCATTTTTAACTGTCCTGTTTTCAAGGAACAGGCCCCATTCTGTTACTTGTGTTCACTTGTGTAGTACATGAGTGGTACTTGAGATGGGATTGAACTAGAGGCTTACTACTATTTGAAGCTCCCAAGACATCCTAGTGGGGTAGGTCTTAGTGGAAGCAGCTCTCTCAAGCTTCTTAAGGCCTCTAGTTCCTGTCAAAGATATGAGCTGCTATCCCAGTTTAACACAGGACCAGTGCCTTATAATGAGAATTAAATATTTTAGTTTGTAATGAGCATTCAGTATTTTAGTTTAAGGCCTGAAGCTATGGGTACCTCTGATGCCTGACTTAAATATTCCTCATTCCTATAAACATGAAAGAATGGAGCTTTGTTCCATTCCATTCAAATCACAGGTAATGTTTGTGTGTGATTCGTGTGATGGGGAAATCTGAGGACAAGGCTGTCAGTGTGGCCTATTTGAAACACAACAGATTGGTGGTGATTTTCCAAATCTTTCTACTTCAGTGTCAAAAACGGTACTTCTCTGCCTGGCACAAGCTGATTCTGGATCATAAGATTAAGCTGGGGAAAGCGGGGACCCTGTCTGACTGGAAGCTTCAGCTGAAGGTCCTCAGAGCCTGGAGAGACCATACACGATCCCAGAAGTTGGAACGAGAGACCAAAGCCTTGGAAAATGACCTTAGGGAAGAAAACAGGTACCATTATTTAGATTCTGAAAATCCTTCTGGTGTACATATCAAGAGCATCTTCCCTCCGAAGAGCCTGAAAATCAACTTCAGAACCCCCAGCTAGAAAGGCATAGCTGAAAATTAGAAGTGAAGCAGATTATCTGAATAAAATATACTAATGGAGCGAGCGCATTCCCTTTCTGCAAAGGAAGGATAGGGCTTCTAGTGCTAACAGCAGCACTGCGCCATGTACCACCTCACAGTTCTGAAGAGGGAGTTTGCTTTATATGCCAATAAATCTCATTGATAGAATCACTGTCTGTACATAGAATGTTAATTAAGGACACAGGGAGCATCCATCTGGGAGGGCCAACCTGCCAAGAGTGATTCCTCCTACACTGCTGTCCTTTGTCCCATACCTTATTTAGAGCTTTTATATCAAGTCCCTTTTTACTGGTGCTGTGTCACACAGAATTTATTGTTAAATAAAGCTTTTTTAAATTTTATTATCTTAAAATTAAATACATTTTCCCTTTTCATTTCCAAATTTAACTTTACATGCAGTCACTGTCACTGTGTGTGTGTGTGTTATTTTTATTTTGTTGTTGTTACTTGATGGTGATGGCTGTTGAACTTAGGGCTTTACATGTCTAAACGCATATTTTACTACTGGGATACACACCCTCAGTCCATAACCTTTTTCTTCTAGGAATCAGTGTCACCGAGATTGAAGGATGCATTATGTTCTTATGTGTAATCATTAACAACGACTCTGTCAGGATGAAAACTTAAGTGTGTGGAATGTGGAAAAGTGGTTACATTGGAAGGCATAGCTGTACAGCTGTGTGATGGCATCAAGCCTGGAAAGTCACATGGGTGTTGGGTACATGGTCCTTTGCCCTGCATGAGGAAAACAGTATCTAGGGACAGTGCAGGTGTTCGGCAGTGTTGTACAATGAGGAAATATGTTCCCTTCTGCTGCTAAGAAAGCAGAGCAAATGTCACTGGCCGGGTAGGTGCCTCAGGTTGTATAGAACAGGCTTCATTGGGAGGAAGTATAGGTATCTGATTTGGCTGGAGATAATCAACCATGTGGCCTTCAAGTCCATCAGCTTTTGAGAAGCTGGTTTGTTTGCTTGGTTGTACTCTTTATTTCTTTATTTTTAAACTGTATGTTTTTGTGTGAGTTTACATGAGTACATGTGTACCACATGCATGCAGAAGCCTGTAGAAGCCACAAGAGGCCGTCGGATCCCTGGAGCTGTAGTTAATGGGTGGTTGAGCTACCCTCTGAGTGCTGGGAACTGAACCAAGGTCTCTAAGCTATGTCATTAATTGTCCTGTCTACCTTTAAAATATTATTTATGTTTATTTTATGTGTATATGTGTTTTGTCTGTGTACATTTATGTGTATCGAATATCCCCCTGAGCCTTTCCAGCCCCCATGGGAAGTTTCATATGCCAGGACAAGGAGTTTAGGTATTACTTGGTTATAAGGTGAATTTCTAAAGCTTTTCTAGCAAGAGGATGACTCTTTTGTAGCATATGCTGGGGCACATCTCTATGGAAAGGGCCAGTGGAGAAAACTCTCTTTTAATCTGTGTCGAGAATCCTTGGACCTTGTGATTGGCGTGAGAACTGGGGTGACAGCATACTGAGAAACTAACTGATGTGAGGTTTGCTAGGTAAAGAATGTAACCTGGAGACTGTGGAAGGGCACAGAGTGGAAAGTGAAATGGTAAAGTTAAAAGCTGCCTTCAAGCATCGTATGCCAGAAGAAACTTGTAGAAGAAAAATCTGGAGAACTCAGGATTCCATTCCAATTAAACAGTTTAAATATAAAAGCACTAAATGGAGATTTCGTAATAGTATAATGTGCCAAAATTTTTTTGAGATCTCAGAACTTTTAGTCTGGTATCTGAATTATTTTCAGGTGTCTATTTTTAAATATTCAGAATGGGTACTAAAAAATTGTTAACTGCTGAAGTTAGAAAATATTTAACTTATAATATTTTTTCTTACTATAAAACCTTAGAACAAAACATATCCCAGAGCAGGACGACACCTTAGCTTGTCTGATCCAGCCCTCGTTTCATGGATAAGGGAAAGAAAGCCCTGAGCAGAGAAGTGTCTTGCAAAAAGCCACGTGGAGCAAGTGTGCTGAGAGCTTTGTCTTCAGGGCTCGTGACTCAGAGGCTTTTCCAGACAGCACTGTTTCCCAGTGAAGCCAAGCAGCGTCTTCACTGTGCTTTCCTCGGCCAGCCATGATTTTCTGCTATACTGGGATTTGCTTTAGATTGTGATGTAGAAACAGAGCTGTCAGATGACGATGCGGGCAAAGGGGGTGACACCCACAGGGGGTCTTCCCTTTCTCAAAAGAGAAGGGGAAGGCAGAATGGGGGGACTTGCATGGGGGTACTAGGAGGAGGGAAAGGGCTGATACTAGGTTGTAAAATGAATAAATAAATAAATTTTTAAAAAAGGAAGGAAGGGAAGGAGGGAGGGAGGGAGGGAGGAAGGAAGGAAGGAAGGAAGGAAGGAAGGAAGGAAGGAAGGAAGGAAGGAAAAGACAAGCCAAGACCAACCAAACAACCAAGTGTCAGATCATCTGAGAAACCTGTGAGAGGGAAGGAGCTGTTCGTGCAGACCCATCTGAGTCCTCAGCTCTCTGTGCACTGAGTATTGTCCTAGACACCTAGGAAATACAGATCCCAGCCATCTTCATTCGGCCCACTGGGGTTTCTCCCCATCCTTGGATGGACACTGACTACAGTGATAGTGAGCCAGGCAGTGAGAGAAGGCTCCATTGCTTGAGTTTAACAGGATGGAGTCTTTCTGCTCTGGAGAGAACAAGTAGCAGAGTGGTCACTCACATGGAAGTTTTCAGCTCACCTACTGACAGGACACAGCTGATGCTGTGGCTCACGGCAGGATGCTGTTGAAGTCCACATCCCTGACTTCTGCACCCACAATTGTTTTGTCCTTGAGTTGTCTCCTCATGGTATGTACCCCTGCAAGGCCCATCCTTGCGGACTTTCTTTTCTGTTCTTCCTACTTGCTCACTAAAGCAACAACAAATCCCTCTCTTCTTATTCATAATTTAGTAACCTCCTTTGCTTTCTGAGCCTATGCACAATCTCACCTGCACTTCAAGGGCTCATGCACTTACTTATTCTACAAATGCATCTGGCTTTCCCTAATAGGAATTGTGGTCATTCTAGTTCCATCCATCTCTTTTCTTTCCAAAGTAGTGTTGGGTTAAGGGTGATGGTGCATGCCTGTAATGTTAACATTTGGGAGGAGAAGGCAAGATGATCAGCAGCTGGAGTTGATCTTTAGTACACAACCAGCTTGAGGCCAACCTGGGTTACATGAGACCTCGTCCCCCAAAAGTAAAATGAAATGAAAATGTGGATACTATAACTAATGGTTTTATTAAACTTCAATATAATATCATACTATAATTTCAGCACAACAGACATTTCCACATTGAATTGCTGAGGTAATACAACAGACTCTGTTCCTCATGTCTTTGACATTGTGGCATTGAAATTAACACATTCACTTTCACAGATTGGTTCCATAGCTCTTAATCCCTCTCCCTCTTCCTTGAATTTTTAGACAGCTCTATAGGAAATGGGAAATAAGGAGGGCTTGCTTCAGTATCTTCTGCCAGCTCTTCTTGAGTCCTGCTTCCCTGCTTTCTCTGGTCCTTCTTAGGAGGCACCTGCCCTAGGGTGTACCAGCTGCCTTCCTCATCTCCTGTGCTGCAGTCTTCCACCACCACCCCTGGCCATGCCTGAACATGCCTTAATCTCTCCCTCTCATTTTTTAAGACTCCCACTTCTTCCTTCGTATTATTCTTGATTGTCTATAATTGTTCATTTCCAACACTTCTGGGTTGAGCCTTCTTTGGAGAACCATATGCAGAGAGCTTCTGTTAATCGTTTTCAGCTGCCTTCCCATCTCTGCTCACCTAGGTCCCCAGGTGAGTGGCCATCAGCCACATGGCATATGCATCTAGTGAAGCCCCTAATAGACCTGTCAGAGGACCAGACTTGCACTGCCTGGCTCACTTTCAACTCCTTTAGAGTCTTATATTCCCTGTTCCCCTGGGGGCTACCTAGTGCATTATTGAATGCATTAGCATGCTCTTTCCTATTCCTGCTGAACCTGCTCATCCCAAATGCAGCTGCTTCCATCACTGCTGTTCTTATGTTCTGCATCAGATTTCAGTACTTAGGTCCCTGGCATGTGGATATGTATCCCCTCCCATTCCCTTTTGAAAAATTCAAGACCCAGGACCCACATGGTGGAAGAACAGACTCCTGCAAGTTTTACTCTGACCTCTATCTGCCCACTGTGTAAGCCCTACCCAAAACAACAGAAGAATTAAAACATGGTTTAGATATTCAATAGTCTTGCTGTAAGATAGCATTATTACTTTATTATGGATTTCATTCTGTATTTTTACAGTTTGTTTTATATAGGTAACAAAAAGAATCTTTTAAAAAAGTTGAAGACTAGACAGTGTAGAGTTCCCAACACCATTTCTAAGGGTGAATCTTAAGCTTAGAGACTTACAGCCACTTGCCAACTATCCCAGGTCAGCCTGGTACTCTCCTGACTTTGAAGGTCCAGATTGCACACTAAAAGCATCATTAGAGGTGTTGATCCTGGACAGCATGGTTCACACTAGAATTCCTATTTAAATTTTTGCTGTTCTGTGCTCTTAGGCCTGTAGAGACAGCCTTTCTTTGCAGACAGTTATGTAATTATGATGATCAATTTATACGCTCTTGCTAGAAATGTTCTGATTTAGCTCACAAGCATATTGGGACAGGCTGCTTTCCATAAGGCGCTCTGTCCTTTATGGTTGTCTGGGAAGTATGTCTCAAGCCTTTTCTTCAGGTAAACTTACCTAAGTGATTTCATCTCACTACAGTTTTATGAAATTGAGGTGATTTCACCCCTCTTTCAGGACTAGCTACATTTTTAGTGCGATCTTTTTAAAAGTATAGAAGTTTGTTCATCTGGGATGTTGTCACTATGCCAAAATGAAATGCAGAGCAGGCATGGAAACAGCCTGTCTCTCGTTTCCTAGTGTCTTACTTCAGCCCTTCCACCTTAGCTGGCAAATACAGAAATAATGACTGCATTCCAAGGCTCCTGTGCAGCCATAATAGAGTGGGCTCTCAGCACTCTATGCCTTTCTTATTTTCCTACCCTCCTAATCTTGATGTAGTCATAAAGATGGTGTTTCCTTGGTCTTTTGTAGTATCCAAAGAATTTTACTGAAGGTCCAATGGGGTCCAAAGGTCCCCATTGCAGCTTTGGGCTATTTATGCTGTAAAAATTATGTTAGCACACCAGGAACATCTCACACTCATCCTGGAGAAGATTGATGTAAATTGGATGTCATGTTATTCAGACTCAGCAACATGCATCTTCTATCCTAAAATTTATGAATTTTCCTTACTGGAGAAAACCAGAGGCTTTTTGTTTGTCTTCCTACTTAGCTTTGGCAGTTTAGTCCCCCCTTCCCTGCTACTTAACTTACTGCCTCTCTAAAATTGTATCAGATTCAGTCTTGTTAGATACTTATTTCCATTATAGATGCATGCATATTTATTATCATCCACAGTGTACTTTTACTATAGAAACTATCTGCCAGTCACCTAGTATTTGTCAACCATCATCAAAGAATTATAAAGATCAATTAAATATAATGATATATGTTGTTGGAAGATGTCCTGGTCACTTTTTCTGCTGCTGTAGTAGAATATCACAGGTTGAATAATTTATGTACAGTAGGAGTTTATTTGGTTCCTAGGTTTTGGGGTTTAGAAATGCAGAACATAGTTCTGTCATGACAAGGACAAAGATGCACACACTGGACAGATAGGAGCTAGGGCTCTCACCGTTCTCATTGGTAACCCACCTCCAAGTTAAGAGCATTAGTCTTCCTGGGGGCAGAACCTTCATTACCTGATTAGCATGTTCATTTGGGGGCAGGGCTGGTAGGTAAGCACTGTAACACTGAGCTATAGTCCCCAGCTTCTTAATTACCTTTTCAAGGCCCCAGTTCTTCATCTTGTTACAGTAGGAGTTCAGTCTCCACATTTTTGGAAGGTGTATTGAAACCATGGCAGCTGAGCTGCTTGTGTCTCAAGGCTGTATTAGACAGAAATAGTAATGCATTTCTGGTAGCAAGGATAAATATTATTTGGTAAAACTTTGTCTCACTTATATATACTTTTGTTTCACTTAAGATTACACATAAACTTCTATATTAAGTTACATTGTAACATTTTTCACTGTAGTTAACCAGCAGAGGTCAGAGTCATTCAAACACTTTTTAAAAAACTATAGAAATCAGTCTGGATCAGTCTGGAGAGATGGCTCATCAGTTAAGAGCACTTGATGCTCTCGCACCTCCAGACATTCCTGGATTCCTCCTGTTCATTTCCTGTATTTTGAGATTACAGACAGGGTACCGCACCTATCTGGTGCTTACATGGGTTCTGGGATCTGAACTACAGACCCTATAGGTGCGAGGCAAATGCTTCTCCTCAGTCCCAAGGCTTGAATTCTTGACAAGCTTCCACTATGATGTCTCCTGGAGAAGATTCCCATGGGGATATACAATGATGTGCACTCCTAACTCCAACCAGGCAGGTTCACTAATATTTATGAAGGTTCCAGGAGCCAAAGAGAGCTCTTTCTTAGGTGATGAGTGAGCTCTATCAGGGCTGGAGCCTGGCTTGTTTCCTTCACATGTATCTAGTGCTTAGCTGGTGTCCTCAAACAGAGTCATTCAGTCAAGCCAGGGCTTTGGTAAATGAGTCCTCTTCAGTGCTTCTCTCCCTAACCAGGTCTTTAACAAGATCATCTTCAGAGTTCCACGTAGACTTTAATAAGTCTTAATTATTGGCATCATTGAGTAATGATATGGTATGGTTATTAAGTTTTCTCTTAACTACCTGCCTTAGATTTCCATCCCTACCTGAATATCTTTTTCCATAATGCATTCTTCTTTTCAAAATAGTTATGTGTATACTTAATAAAATTTAACATGTTTTATTGGGAATGTAGAACAGTGCTTTCTTCTTGAAGGCAATGCTTAGGTGTTGATGCCTTTGATGAGTGTCTTCTCTGAGGAATGTAAAGTAACTCCGTTTAGTTTAATGTTATATGATAAGATGGGGGATTTCAGAAACTTGTTTGACCTTATGTTCCTTTGTATTATCAACTAACATTATAAGTGGCTTCTTTGTTTGAATGAAAGTGCCTTTGCTTTGTCTCCTAGGAAACAACAGCTGGCTACTGAGTTTAACCGGAAACAAGTTCTTCGATACTGCTTTGGTGAATGGCAGCGTTGGCATGGTTCAGAAGTTATAAAGAGGGAGCTGGCTCTTGCAAAGGAGCAAACTAGGAAGAAAATGGACCAACTGCTGAAGGCAGCCTCCCTCGGGAAACTCAATTCTAAGGGGTCATCAGGTATCGCTCTTGCTGAGGCAACAGCTGTGGTGGACCCACCAGTAGGAAGTGGAGAGGTACACTGTTCCCTTTGTTTGGGTTTCATGTTTACCATGGACTTGCATCTGAGCGTCACACTTTTATAACATCTGCAGTCAGAGTGCCTTCTCTTAGCTATCCAGAGGTTAGGGGTGCTACAGTGCACAGAGGTTACCACCCACAATGTGATTATTTTCTTAACCTGATCTTTTTTTTTCCCAATAGTTAGTTATATGTCAGCATTGGGCTAGCTGGAAGTTGGTAAGGACATGCTACAGAAAAGGATGCATTTCATCCCAGCTAAGTGAAAGACCTTTGGAAAGAGATGTGTAAAGCACTGCTGACAATTCTTGAGCCCCCATGTGAACTTCACACCTGTCCTTTTTGGATAAGCTTGTGACATAATGGATTTTTAAATGTTTTTTTTTTCTAATAAAAGTTGTCCATACTAATTGTGACAATTTGGTAAAAGAAAATCACCAAGAATTGTTTCTTTAAAGCTAGTGGTGGTGATATATACCTGTAACTGCAGTTGCTAAGTGAGCCTGGGCTTTTTAGTAAGTTCAAGGCCAGTCTGGGCTATGTAATGAGAATGTTTCTCAGTAAACAACCGAGTCTATATAATTCCGTCATCTGGAGTTAACCACTAGTAACATGGAAGTATAGTTATCTATTCTTTTCCCTGTAGAGGCATATATAAATTTGTTATTGCTAACATTTTATTTTGCTTTACATTTTCCTCAACCAAGTCACTGAAGAAAGCTAGTCTGCCATAATTAGGAAAAGGAAGGCTATACTTTGTTTTGTTTGAGACAGAGTCTCATATAGTGCAAGCTGGCCTAAAATACACTCTGTAGCAAAGGGTAGCCTTGAACTCCTGATCCTCTTGCCTTACTTCCCACATGTGGTATTATGCAAGGCTGTTCTGTGGTAGTTTGTTTGTTTTTTTTAATACAAATGTAACTATTTTGCTTTTCTATAACCATCTTTTGAATTTTCTAAATAGAACATGGACATTTTTATGTTATTAAATATACCTTAGCCATAGTTCTTCGTTAAAAGTATTTCTTGGAACTAGATCTGCTAATCAGAATTTCTGGGAATGGGGCACTAGTAATTTAGTTCTTCAGGTAGACCTGATACCTACCCTGGTTATTATGGTCTACACTTCTCTTGTATCATTTTGTAATACCTACAGGACACTCTGTAGTAAACCTAAGCTACAAGTGGTTTAACTTATGGATGGCTGAAATTTATCTTGTTTTCAGTTTGCTCTATTTCAAGCAGTATTTCACCAAAGATACCAGTAGTAGCTAAGTCTATGCATATATACATACTGCTTTACTTAGGGTAAATATTTTAAGACAGAATGTGTTTTTTGTTTTTATCTTATCGTTTATCATTTGCATTTTTATTGCTTATGAGGTTAAACATTCTTATATTGGCTGACTAGATAAATAGATAGATAGGGATATAGAAAGACAGGCATAGGTCACTTACCCCTTTATATTTTTAGGAATATTGATGCTTAAATTATTATGCATGCTACAGACTCTTTGTCCACTTGATCATTTGCCTTCTTGATTTGGTTCTGGAGTTTGGTGCTGTGCCCAGCTGTTCATTTTTTATGAGGTCACTCCTAATAGTTTTTCTTGCTTTTTATACTTGTCTTGTTAGAAAGCCTTAGGAAAGATCTCTGCCTCTACCCCGCTCATAGTGCCGTTAAGTACTTAACTCAGACACATAAAATTAAATTGGGCACCTGAGGGTCTCAGCCTTGCTTTATACCCTGATTACTGCAAGCAAGCAGACTGGCTTTCATTTAAGTGTAGTCTCTCAGCAAAAAAGGATCATAAGAATGCTTATTGGAGCTTATGTAACATTTTGGGCCCTTCCCCCAGGCATTTTATCTACCTTTATATCAGCTAGATAATTTTGTCTCTATTGAGACCCAGAAAAGATTTATATCTTAAGAAATAGCTGAATGGAACTTTTTTTTTCTTTCCAAGTTCTACTGTTGTTGCCGTTAAAAGTCAGCAAAAAATATTTTTCCTGTGTAAAACAAAAAAATTACTGTATCATATACATACATATATACATATCTTTATATGTTTAGATTTCAGAAAAAAAGCCTCTAAGTATCTGGAAAAAAAAGTTTTTTCAAGCAAATAATTTTATAGAAAAAAAAATACCAAGGGTCTAAAATCTTTGTAGCTCACAAAATAAACTTCCATCTTTTCTGGGATATACAGTAAAATATGAGCAAATGAAAATACAGAACCTTCAGTTAGATGCTCAGTAATTATACAATCATAGGAATTCATGTGCCAAGAACGAACAAACAAACATGTTATACTTTGAGAAATTTTTTGGAATTATCAGTTACCTAATAGGTGGTTTCCTCTGATTAGACCAGGCTGTGCTGACCTTTCTAGTAAGTACAAACTGTACCAATAAGCTTTTGTTTCATTTTCCTGTTTTTACCTTCAGAAGTTACCATGAACCAAAGGAAATCTTTTTACTGTACTCAAGGCTTTTATGTAGTCTTGCTGGGTTAATAACGTGTCATTATCACAAGGTTTAAAAAACATCTACCCTGCTTGATGCTAAATTACATAAGCAGGTGTTCTCATGAATAAATGTCCACTGACATTTTTAAAATAAAAAGTTATTTTTTAAAAGTATTTAACATGTCAGAGTTTCCATGTATCACATCTCTCCAGCTAGGTCTTAGAAAGCATTTCCATCATCATGAAATATATTTTTGAGTACCTAAGGCTGGCATGCTGTTAGTGTTGAAAGCTGATACTGGGTTTTTCCTGCTTCTGCCATTGCACATGACAGAATAGGTAGCTGATCAGATCTGAGCTCATGCTCCAAACATTCTAGAGGAGACATACTAACTTGACATGAATGTTGGCCACAATAATGTTGCTGGTTAGGAATGATTTTTTCCTTCTCCTCCAGATAATTTGTCATAAAGTATGAATCCTGCCTAAAAATGAAGTTTACATCTTTGAAAGGTATTTTGTTGTATGCTAATATAAGCTATTTAATAAAATTGTTCTTAGATAGTACAGATATTTGCCTAGTCCTGGTTTTCCAGATACCTCCCCAGAACAGATAGTTGGGGAAGAGCTGGAGACCAGTCTCTAAATAAGACTTGGATGCTGAAATAAACTTACATCTGTATTTTATTTAAGGATGAATTTAGAAGAGGCAGAAGAGGCCTTCAAATAACAGAATTGTTACATCTTAAGTAATAGCTGAAAGAAACCTTTTTTTCTTATTAAGTTCTTACTGTTGTTACACTTAAGTGAGCAAAAATATTTTTCTTCTCCTAAACAAAAAATTATAATATACATACATTCATACACACATTTAGACTTTAGAAGCTCCAAATATGTACAGTGAAGAAGGAAGTTTTCAAACATCTTTGAGGAAAAATTTTTCAGATTTCCACAAAATTTAATCAATTTTTACATTAAAGAATTTTATAATATGAAAGAAATAAAATTGCTTGGTTACAAAATAAACTATAGAAATCCATAAGAAAAGGCCAGGCATGGTGGTACACGCCTATATAATCCAGCACTTATGCAAGGGAAAGCAGGAAGATCATTAATTCCAGGCCAGTCTGAGCTATATGAAATGCTGTCTCAAAAGAACCAAAAGGATGCCTTGGCCCCTGACCACAGCTGTCTCAGCTCTGACCACTTTTTCCCATGTACTCTTGATGGTAAGCCCAGTTGTGCATTCCTAATGGCTCACCATGCCAAGGCTGATGGTGTCTGAGATACTCGGGCCCGGAGAGCAAAGCAGCTGTAGCTAGGGTGCAGCATAACCGTGTCATTGAACAAAACAATACCAGTGAGAACAAGGCAGGGTCTCATCTCATCAGTATTTGAGTTAGAATATCATCTTTTCCCCTAGGTCACTACCTTGTCCCCTTTGTGGGAAAAGCCACCTGTGGAGAGCAGCGGTTGTACACTCAGCAATTCCCCAGAAAGAACAATCAAGGGTAATGTACAGCGTCCTCTCCCACATGTCTCTGGGAGCACACCTGGCACAAAGCAGCCCAAGACTGCAGCAGCTGAGCCCTCTGCACAGCCTGGTAGCTGTGAAAGGCCTGGGACCACCAGCCAGGAAGCAGAAGCTGTCTGCATGGGGCATTTCCACTGTCGCCATGTCTACCAGCAACAGCTGATTGAGAAGCAAAAGAAGAAACTTGAGGAACAGCAGAAAACCATTCAGAAGCTGAAGGAAAGCCAGCGTTTGGCCGAGGCCCGGTGGGCAGCTGAGCGTGCCACAGCAGTCACAGAAGGAAAGGGCTGCCTTCAGTCAAATCTCAGAGGAGCAAAAGACCTGCAGGGAACCTGCCAGAAGCTTCTGAAGTATGTCAGCAGGGTCAGAACAATGTGTTTGGAGGGCTTTCCTTTAAGGAAGAGGGCTGCTAAATAGCTTTGCTTAGCTTCCTGTATGCTCACAAAGCCAAGAACGTCACGTATGCTGACTGTCCCATGTCAGGTGTACATAGATATTTAAAGCAAATGGCTGCCTAGATGGATACTATTATACAGTGAGCCCTGGGTGGTTGTGAGAGGAACTCTGGAATTATGTAGAAAAAGAGAAAATACATGTTCGAACTAAGTTTTCGAGTTTCTGATTATGTTTAATGCTGAGAAACCAGGGCAGACAACATGGTCCCCAGAGACCAGCCCCAGGGCTGGCTAATTGACTCAGTGAATTTTTAGTTGTTCGCAGTAAAGCTATCTATCTTCAGACTTTCCTCCAAAGTCACTTAAGATGGTTCCAGTTGTGCTTGACACATCCTCAGTGTGTGTGATGGGCAGTTGTTAAGGAGAAGAATTGATGAGGGTAGGGCTGTCCTTAGACTTTAGTCTGGGTATAACTTGTTAACTGAGAGTTACAAGTTTGTATAGTACTTTGACTTTCTCAGCTATAAAGGCTTTGAAGGAGCTAGTTATTGATCACAATTGTCTTTCTTGTCTTTTTCTCCTTATTTTCTTTCAGTTCATCTGTTCCATCCCCTACATGTGAAGACAGTAGAACTGATTCCAGAAAGCCTCTTTCTGCATCTAAAAGGACCCTGAAGCAGCCGACAGCACCCCATCCCTTATTGAAAGGCAAGACTGCCCCGACGGTTTTCATGATGGTTGCCTTTTCTGCTGGAGTAGTGTATGTCTGGGGCTGGGTGCTCACAGCTCTTAGGCTTTGACACTTGGTAGAGCCTGGGAAAATTCCATGGTTCGTAGACATGGGAGAAATGGGGTGCACTAGGGAGCTCCACTACTCTCTTTCCTTCCCCTTCTGCCAACTCTTATGAGCGTCCCATAAGTATACATGCATGAGTATGTGCACATGTGCACACACCACGGGGGAAGGGGTGAGAGAAAGGGGGGGAGATTAGAAAACCTCTAATTTGAGATTTGCATTGTGGGGGAAAGGGGAGGAATTACACAAATGAAAACCCTGAGAAACAGCTAAGGCTAAATAAACATTGATTAAGTTCACCTGCCATTATACTTGATCAGTGCCGAAACACTGATGAGTTTACAGCAAGCCAAGTCCTGTTACTCTGTCGCTCTATGATGTGTTATGTTTTAATAGTAGCATGTTGGTAATGAGATGTATAAACCAGATAGTTTAATTTGATTTAGATGCATATGAAACTCTTTATATTTAAAAACTAATGCTTTAAGACTAGAGGGATTCCTCAGGACCCACCTTGTAATTCTGCTAATTGCATTTGTCACATAGCTGCTCTTGTGTATTTGTATGTATATACACATGGGGGTGAGTTCTTTGACAAATACATAGATGTCTGTAAATCTGAGGTTTTTAAATCTATTGTAAAATTGCTGCCCTAGCAAGAAGTAATGACATCTGAAGGACACTGTGCTTCTAGTCAGTTCCTGTCAATAAAGAGATTGCCTGGCTATATACCAACCATCTGGCAGGACAGCAGTGGATGCTGTCCTTGCCCACCACTAAGGCTGATCAGGAAATGTCCAGTTCATTGTGATAAGTTTTTGAAATTATTGTTTGATCAATGACTTAGCTATCTCAGAATCCTAGTCTATTTCTTAAGTAGACTTTAATGATTCAATCTAGGGAAGATGGGGAGAGATGTATTGCCGAGCCCCTGCTTCTTGGGCTCTTCACTTTAATCTCTAGTCTATTTCTTCTCCTTAAGGACAGTCTCCCTGCCATCTGTGCTACCACCACTAATCCTCTGTGGCAAAGCAGACAGTTAATATCTGTGAGAAATAGCTTGCTGAAGCTTTTGTTTATTAATTCTTAAAACGTGGACTTAAAGTCTCTTCTCTGTAACACAGCCCAAGGAACTGAAAGTAACAGTGGGCTGGCTTCGTGAGCAGAACTCGACGCTCCTGATGCCCATGCCCCTTCCTGGGCCAGCCCTGCCTGAGTATAGTCATATTATCAGACCATCTTGCACATTTGTTACTTTTGGATCGATATTTAATAAACTGTCAAGAACAAGAGTCTGACACTCAAAATCATTCTGATGCCAGTTCTCCAAATGCCTGGTTCACTTCCATTTCCTGCCCATCTGGGTGCCTGGGTCTTAAACTACATTGGAATAGATTCACCATGACCCCAGCTTTAGCTTTCTTGTTGTTGTCATGAGTACAGACACATGGATGGTGACTTCAGAAAATGAGTAGCCTCACATAAATGAATTTTAAGGAAATAAATTTAAGGAATTTTCTATTCTCTAAGTACTCATTAGCTGAAGTATATTTTTGTATGTGTGTTCATTAGCAATGTATTAAAATTCTGGCTTCTGGGTTTCATACACTAAAAGTCCACCATCCAGGAGCATTGTCTTATTTAGACCAATAGAAATATATTCTAAAGAAATACAAAAAGAAATGTAATATTGTTGATGTTAGATCTTTAACCTGTTGAGTTAAATAAGCTTCATATGTCAAAAGATTCAACTTACAAGAAAACTCTAATGGTAACTCTAAATGTGAATATAATATGGAGACATTTATTTTACAGAGTGCTTCATAGTTTTCTTATATTGGGACTATGTTACTATTTTTTAGCCATGGAAGACAGAGCAATTCAACGAGCTGAACGTAGGCAGATCTTGGCAGAAAGGAAGAAAAAACAAGAAGAAGACAAATTGGTAATAAATTCAGAACGCAGAGGCAAGAAAAGTGATTTGTTCAGATTTCAAAACCTGGAACCTTATGTGTCCATGCCTCCTGAGATGGTAGAGTTAGAGCAACTTCAGAAAGGCTGTGGCCTACCCCCTCTGAATTCAGTTTTAGGAAAATAAGAAAGATCTTACTCAACATCATTAGCAAAGCAGAAAGGAAATGTTACAAAAGTGAATGGCAGCTAGCAGATTGGAAAGTTCACAGGTAACCACAATTAGTATGCTGTATATCGATACATTGTACATTGATTGTATGTTGACCCAATGGCTTTACAAAGGACAGTAGTTCTTATCCTCCCAACATTTGACCTAGACTGTCAGAAGGAAATTTTGCATCTATAAGAGAAAAATAACAATTCTGTTTCGGGTGGGCTAACCGGGTTTCCTCACATCAGACTCCCTATTTCACAAGTGAAAGTAAGAACTGACAGTAGTCATTTTTATCATGAGAGTAGAGTGGCTATATCCATGGGCAGGAGAAGGTTCCTTCAGAAAGACCCCTAAGTTATAGGGCATGCTGGTTCATTCTTTCCTTCCTGTCACAAAATGCATATATAGTCTAGGAGGAGAACAGGCATTTGGTAGATACTTTTCTGTCTCAGGACCAAAGACCTCCTTTCCTACTCAGAGGAAGGGTTCTGAGTTTTCTGTCTTCTGATTTCATTCAGGCTCAGTTAAAGGCCCAAGAGGAAGAACGCCAAAAGAAGGATGCAGAAGAAAAGGAAGCCCAGATGGAGAGAAAACGAGAGGAAAAGAGGCTAAAGAAGATGGTTAGTAGAATCTTTGCTAGTTGCCCATCTGTTGAGGCCCATTGCTAGTGATCTCTCTCCTCATGGTTGTGTTGGTCATCGGTGTACCTAGGGCATAGAATGCTCTCAGCAAAGGTGGTGAATGGGTAAATAGAGTAATGGACAACTAGAAGAAAACACATTTCAGAGAAGTGGGAAAGGCAGTTATTAAATGCTAGTTGAGAAGATAGGACTTTACATTTGGAGAAAATACAGTAGATTTCATTGTTGGATGCTGCACAGAACAAAAGGAATCAAGAAGTCATATGAGGCAAAATACACATAAATTTTGGAAACAGTGGAAGCATTTTCATCCTTTCCTAAATCAACATAAGAAACCCTAAAAGCAGCTGTTTCTTTCCTTTAAAACTAGTGAGAGATTCTAAAACACATTTCCCCAACATGTGTTATATCCCATGTTGTCCTAGTAGTTCCTGAAATAGTAAGTTGTTTTGAGAAAGTGTAAATTCGGTAGTCAGATGGTTTTAGAAAATGCTGTTTAAGATAAACAAAGTTCCTTAATGAGTTGACTTCCCAAAACTTTTGACATCTTCCCAGACATTATGAGTCTCCAGAAAAGAGATATAACATACCAAAGTAATATGTATATGACTGCAATTCCCTTTTTTATAACACATGGTATAACATACCGTGGAACAATTTGAGGTCATACTACTGTAAAGCAACAAAATAATTTTAAAAATATACACTATAACAAATTTGTCTCTCATATCTGTTCACTATAAAAAAAATACAAAGGAAATAGAAAATATCTGTGAGTTCAACACTAAGAATGAACTCCTCCCCTAGAGTAGCATCTTAGTGTCCACTTTAGGCCTCTTCCTGCTGTGCGTCTCTCCCTCTCTGTTAATAGATTGATCACTGTCTGCCTGTAGGTATGTATAGCTTTAAACTTTTTTCTTTTTCTTTTTAGACTCTACCATGAGTAGAGTATCTTCAGAATTCTTCAGGACTGCCTAATTTATAAATACAATGATGTTCTTTTTAAATCTTTGTTTTGGATTAATACAGATTTACAGAAAATTTGAAAGGATAGTATCGTATTGTATATCTTCCTCATTTAATGCTCTCCAGTATCATCATGAAGCATTCATTAGAAGTCATCATAAACACATTACTGCAGACATTGTTTTTCCATAAATATTCAGGATCTACTTGGAGATATCACATCCCCAAAGCTGTCTCATCCCCTTAGCGCCATCTGGGCTGTGATAGCTTCTATCTTTCCTCTTTTGTCACTACTGAATATTTCGAAATTGTCCCTCCATTTGTATTTGATGTTTTTCTGACAATTCCCCTGTGCTAGTGGGATTTTATGGTGACGCTCACTCTGTCCTAAGCCTATGGCAGCCCTGTACATGAGACCGGATGAAGCCGACCTCCTGATGTGTACCTACCTGATGAGTTAGCCGGTGCTTGACAGGCTTCCTCACTGTACTTTCCAGTTTTCCCTTTTCACACTTTATCCCCAGAAAGTGATTCATTAAAGTCCAGTATTCTCTCAAGGCAAGAGGAAGATGCAGTTCAGCTCCATGCCCTCTGTGGAGGTGTATCTACAGTGAATACTAAGAATTCTCTAAATAAAGTTGGTCACTTTCTCCATTTATTCTGTCATCGTTTATATAACTATGGATTCTTGCATATTTATTTTATATTTTGGGTGATAAAATACTGTTTATTAACTTTATTGTTTAAATTGTAGTTTTGACTGGTTTAGAAGGGTCTTTGAGACTGGCTTCTAGTTTCCTTGGGTCTGCCCCATACTTTTCTGCTTTCTGAACACCTTGCTTTCTGGAGCTTTTCATCTCATAGTTTCACTGTCAAGTCCTCTGATCAGACATTTTTTTTCAAGATTCCTTTGTTCTACATGGTATCTGGAAAAGAAAGTCTAGGCAGTGAGTACTAAGTTACTACTGGGATAGTCCTGATTCTAGGATATTGATAGAGATGGATGATATACATGTATTAGGCCATGCATACACATCGGATCATAACCATCCCTTCCTATACAATTAAGGTGAACTCATATTGATGTCTCTAGCTCTATTATTGGATCAGAGAGTTTATTTATTATATACATCCCATCTTGTTTGCTTGCAGATGTTCTGACAATATGAATTTTAGCTCCATCAATTCAGATGTATATAACTTGTTAATAATGTGTTCAAGGCTGGTTTGGGCTCTGTTTCAAAATCTGTTTCAAAAGTATTAATTCACCTGAGCACTCTTAAGCTATTGGATATGATATTCCTGTGGTTCATCATATGTAGTCATCCTTGAGCATTCCTTATATACTCAACTCACTGAGAAATTTTATTATGAAAGGATATTGAATTTTGCCTAATGTTTTCATCTATTGAGATGATCATAGAATTATTATTCTTATCCTAAAATGGTGTATTGCATTTACTGATGTGTATAGATAGTCCTTACATTCCTGGAGTAATTTCGCCTGGATGTGGTATATGATACTTTTTAATGTGGTAATCTTGAACTTGTCTTGCTACTGTTTTGTTGAGGATTTAGAAAGTGATATTCCTCAGGAATATCGGCCTATATTTTCTGTCCTTGTGTCCTCTTTGTTTCGCTTCTGGGTTAGACTAAGGCTGGTCAAAATGAGCTTGAAAATGTTCTTTCCTCCTCAGCTTTCTGGAGAAAGTTGGTCGTGGTGTTCAGAACAGGAAGCAAACTAGAGGTATCCAATCTGGAGTCTGACTTTTAGCAAATGTTTTCCTTATTTTTGTGCTACTCACATTGAAATGGCACCGACATAATTGAATTAAAGTATGCTGTCTCCTATCGGTTGTCCTTGTCTTCCATGTCTCTTTCTTCCGTCTTCTCTGACTTTAGTAAGCATCTTATCTCCTCTACTGAGTTACTTGCTTTCCTTTTAAGAATATTTTTTGTGTTGTCTGGTGCTTAATAATCTCCATCCATGTTCAAATCATAGCACACTCAATGTCCCTGGGAGCTTTCCATCCTCACATTTCACTTTCTCCCTCCCGTTTTCTCTTGTCATATGTGTCCTGTTTTGCTGGTATTACGCTATGAATACTAGGTGTCCTGCTTAAGTTCCTGACTTACACAGCTGCTGTAGTAATAATAGGGGTGTTGGATTTTACCTTCCATTTCTAGTGTTCTTTGTACAGATGTAAATTCTTAATCTTTGTCATATATTATTCTTCCTGAAGAACTTGCACCATTTTGCTCCTGGTGGCAGATTCCCTCAGCGTATAACCTGCTTCCTTCCTCTCAGAGAGCCTCAGTGCCACATGTCCTTACAGGACCTTTCCTTTGGTACAGGTTCAGGAGGAGGGAGAGAGTAGAGAGCTCTGGAATATCTTATGAGGACACTAATCCTGTCAGGTTAGGCACTCGCCATTCCTTACACAGATCATTTACTGATAGAGTTAGGGTTTCAGCATAAGGCCTGTAGTCTGTAACAGTTGGTGAGTCTCTTCCCTCTCCCATCGTTAAGACTATGTCTCATTTTAACTCTCTTAAATATACAGTTTATCTAGAGATGGTTGATTTGTTCAATTGTTAGCCTTTCTTAATAGTTTTAAGCTTCTTAGATATAAAACTTTGTGTTTTATCACAAACTTTAAACATATTTTCACCCACTGTTCTTCAAATATTTTAGCTAACTCTTTTCATTTTCCTTCCCAGTTCCCAGTCACGCCAGTGTTAAGTTTCTCAGATGTGGCAGTTTTTAACTCTCTTGCTACTTTGCAATTACTATGACTTCAAGTTGCCAGGTTCTTTCTTCAGCTATTTCCGCTAGTAATAAGTACACTGAAGACCCTCTTCATTTCTTCTCCCTGTTTTATCGTCTAGCACTTTTGTTCTGAACTCTATGGTTTTCATGTGTTCTGCAGTCACCTATCTGATACTGAATGATGTCCATCTTTTCTCCACTTTTCCTTCAGTTCTCTAATACTGTCCCATGCTATCTAAAATTCTGATACCTTCCGCAGCTTTGTCATGTCTGTCTTGTTCTGAGGATTGGTTTTATCTTTTCAGACCGTATTCTTATCTTTTGATAGATCATTAGTATGTTATTGTTAAAAGCCAGTCACTTGCTTAGAGCAATAGAAATTTAACTGGGTAGGGCTTTAGTATGGAGATTTGTGTTAATCTAGGCAGGAATTGGGCTTTGTTTGATGTTTATTGTTGCTATGGTTACTACCATTGGCTTTTATTGTTGCTATGGACACTAGAGGCTTCACTTTTTCAGTACCTTTGGCCTTGGGTCTTCACCTTGTGCTGCTCCCCAGAGGCCACGTCCTTTCCAGTTCTTCCTGTTTCATAACAGGGTTTGTAAGTAGGTGCTGAGGTGGGTGTGAGGGGAAGCATTCTCTACTCTGATTACATTTCAGTCTTGGGCGTGCCCACCTCTGGCTCTGGAGTTTCTGTTCCTGCTCTGCGGTTGAAGTATTGTTGCACCTCACTTCCCCCTTTCTCTGTGACCGCGAGCCCTTCCCTACAGCAGTTGGTTGGTGGGAAGGGATCACATCTGACAGACTTCTCAAAGTTCACTCATGACACAGTGTGGGCCCCACTCTATTCCCAAGTGGTACAAGCAGAGAGCCTTCATTCTTGGGAAGAAGACTGCTCGGGGCAGTTTGGGCTGTTGCTTCTCTCCCCTTGATAGACTATTCAGGAAACATCCTCTTAGTCTCCCTGTCATCTTTGTGAAAACATATCAGGTTCCAGGAGGAGAAATCTACAGGTGTGGGGCCACCTTCATGAGCCTTACCATTTCACAGGATGCACTTGCGCCACAGCCTATGGGCACACGCACCAAGCACTTCACCAACATCTCTACCTTAGCAGCTCAGTAGCTGTAGTTTCTGCCTTCTCAGGTAATGCTCCTGTGCCTCCCTGATAGTGCCCGTCTCTCCACTGTGGGACATGATTACATGTCTCAGGTCGATTCACAAAAAGACATTAGTTCTGATCTTTGGTCTGGCTCTTTTCTTGTTAGAAGCAAAATGCTTGAACAAACCAAAAATTATTTTTAAAAAACTTACTGGCCAGGAGAATGTTTTATCTCACTATATCAATCCCAAACCTTTCCTTTTTAAAAATGCCAGCCTATAGCAACAGACAAAAAGCCTTTTCACGTAGACCAGTTCCCATTCAGGCTGTAACCTTCTAACTTTGAGAGCAGTGTATTTGCTGCCTGGCTGTGATTGAGCCTTCCTTGAGAGTGACTTCAGGTCTAAATGTACCTGTCAGTTGTCTCCTTTTCCTTCTGTGCAAACATGCTGTGCACAGCGAGCTTGCCCACTCTGCTTGTCACATGGTCTTCTGCTTTTGAGGCATCATATTCTGCACAAGCAGTGCCTGGCTCCCCTGTAGACTTCATATAGCTAACCTAGACACAACCTCCAAGGCCATAGTGATGCTGTTCCTATGGACAACAAAAACTCAATGGCACTCCCGAACCAGTACCTGTTGGGACTTTCTGTGTCGGTTGCATGTGGCTGGATGTCTTTGAGGGAACTCTGGTTTAACTTCTAATTGGCAAGTTTTCTGCTCACTGAATTTATCAGCATACTGTTCAGTAGAAGTACCATATTTTCTAGGTAGATGAATAACCCAACTATTTTTATAACAGATTATCTCAGGGACAACCACATATATTTATCTGAATACAAAATATAAGTCCAGCTATACATGTGAAGGACATGTATCTTGGTTTGGTTTTCTAGTGCTGTGATAAACAACATGACTAAAAGCAGCTTGGGGAAGGAGAGTTTATTTGGCTCGTGTGTTAAAGATCATTATTAGGAAAGCCAAGGCAATAATTGAAGCAGAGACAAGGGAAGTCTGCTACCTACTGGCTTGTTCCCAGTGGCTTGCTTAGCCTGCTTTCTTATATACCACCCAGGACCACCTGCCCTGGGGTGGCACTGCCCACAGGGAGCTGGGCCCTCCTACATCCAATCAAGACAGTGCCCTACTGACTTGCCTACCGACAATCTGATGGAGGTCTCATTACTAACTGTAGCTAGTGTCAAGTTGGCTGATCAAGACAATATGCAATATAAAGTTTTAGGACAAAGAAAGTTTTCAGGGAAAAAGCCCATGATAAAGTGGTCTTCCACATTCAGGAGAAAGGTTATGGGGTAAGGGGATGGCTACAGCTTCATGTCCTTATGACCCTGACAAAAAAGCATACCAACTGAGGCAAATAAGAGTGCTATTCACAGGTCTCACATGACCTAAAAATAAAAGCCTCATAAAGTCCCATTTTCCCATTGGGTGCACGTTTTCTACTCCTACTTATCAAGCAGTGGCTCTGTGGCCATATACATATGCTTTGGGGGAGGTTGGGGTTTTGATGGCCTGGAACCCACTTTGTAGACCAGGCTGTCCTTGAACTTCCAGACAGCCATCTGCCTCTACCTCTCATGTGCTGAGATTTAAGGTAGGCACCACTACACCGGCTTATAAATATACTTTGAACTACTGGGAAATTGAAATCTGTTATTGAAAAGGGTAATTTTATCACCAAAAATGACATTTTCCATGTTTAGTAAACATATTAGCTTGAAGGGTAAACACCTGTGAAATATCTACTTATGTGCCAGTGTGCTCTGGGTGTTGGAACAGAGCAGTGAAGACAGATAGCATCCCTGTCTTGAGAACCCATCTGTGTTACTTTGGAAAAAGAGTCAGTCAACATCAAAGAAGTAGATGGGGAGAATACTGTGGGAAGCAAGGTGCAAAAACCTTTCTGAGCGCCTGGTACAAAGGAGGTCCCCACAGGACACATATATACATGTCAAATAGCCTGTTAGGCGCACACAGCTAGATAGAGAAGCTTGTATACCGAGACCGGAATGTAGTATCTATAAAATCCAAATATGCCAATGTTTTTGATGATCTGGAAGTGACTAGAATCAACTCTTCAACCCTGGGGGCAGGGGTGGGCAGGGATGACTGTAGGGCCACAGCCTAAGATGTATGAATACTTTCCCAAAGGATGAGGATCTAGGGGAACCTAAAATTAGAACAGTGTGAGACGTGTTTGTATTGGGGGAGGAATGATGGCGGACACAGCACTGTGTGCCTGAGTTCAGCTCTGAAGGAGACAAATGACTCTTTAACTTGGACACAGGGGCATCACTCAGAACCTGGACAAGGGTGCTTTCTGTGGCGGCCTAGGAAAGGAGCCACTGTCCAGTGGGCTGAGACTTGGTGAGGAACAGAGGTACATACGGTCCAGTGGAGCAAAGAGGGTTTGGCTGGTAGTTGCTTTTGGTTTTATTTGCTTTTATTTTTAATTAGCATTTACTAGTGTGTTTTTATTTTGACTTCCGTGATCCAGCAGTAACAGAGAAATTACTGTTAAAATAGAGTTGAGTGCCGTATACTTCCCTTAACATACTTTTAAACCTTAATCTTTCTCTCAAAACATACTGTGGCTGATACAGATAAACATTTAGATGAGATCTTGGTTTTATGCATCATTTGTAATTATGCAAAATATAATTTAAATCAGAAGAGAAAGCCATATTTAATATCAATTTTTAACCTGAACAACTATTTGCTCCTTGAAACCTCACTGTAAATCCCTAATATAAATGCTTTTTCGAAACAGAATCATACCATGTCAACATGTCGGCTGAGTGGATACAGCTGTATGGTTATACAGGGTACACTTCCTGTACAAGTGGAAAATAAGTCAATTGCGAGTGTGAACAGGAAGGCTCTTTAGACTGAGCCCAGGGCTTCTCCAAAGGGTGGAATCAGGCTCTCAGGCTGCCTGCAGGCTGCCACTGAGGAAAGGACAAAGCACTGCATGTGGAAAGAACCCAGTTCTGTCTCCTCGTTGATTCTTTACCCCTCTTTTACTACTCAGGGAGAAATGCTTACCTACAGTTTTCATGTCTGCCAGCCCATTCAAGAAGGTTCTCAAGTATCTGAAATAGAGATTATAAAGGATATTTTGATATACTTCCCTGAAGAATGTAGGCATTTCATTTTCAGGAACTTGTACAAAGATAGGTAATTGCATTGGAAGATGAGGACAGTCTCCCTTTCCTGTTCCTGTCTCTGTCTCTCTCTGTCTCTCTGTCTCTCTGTCTCTCTCTCTCTCTCTGTCTCTCTCTCTCTCTCTCTCTCTCTCTCTCTCTCTCTCTCTCTCTGTGTGTGTGTGTGTGTTTCTTTCTCTCAAAGGCTCAGACACACTAAGTAGCTTGCAGAATCAACCATTTCACCACTGCCTTTTGCATGACATGAAATTAGAGAATGAAAAAGAAATTTGAATATTGTTATTTTTCTGCCCCACGGGTGACCACCACTGTGAGAGCAGTGTGCAGTCTGCTTTTAAAGCCGTGTCTACCGTACTCACTACATTTCAGTAGACTTTTTCTCTCCTACCTTTATCACATACTGCTTGTATTAAAAGGCAGAACTAGATAATGGTATGTGTAAGGTAGAGTGTTGAGTTCTGTCATCTTTCCTGGGCACACCACTCAGGAGTGCATGTCTTTCTTCTGTGAGAATCACATGGTGCCTTCTTTCTCAGGGAGCCCCCAGGGCAGTTAATCTTGCTGCGTAGGACGGAAGGCTACTCTATGATGATAAATACTTTCATCTTACATCTGGACTTACTGTTCACTTAGGAAAGAAAAATAACTCAGTGGTAAGAATAGTCTTCTAGACTGTCAGTGGTCTCTTGTCATTTGACCGTAACTCTCTGTGTATCAGGCTCTGCATTATAATTCTAATGAAGGTTTGCATTACTGCTTTTTCTGTAATGATAAGGAAAGGCTTCCTGAGTTCTCCTTTGACTAGATATTTTGACTTTTTAGTAATGAGGAACTCGGTAGTTCATTTCTGTAAACAATTTTGGATAAACCCAAGAATACATAGCTCTGATTGATGTAGGGCTTGTGACCAACATTCTCTGACCCTCTTAGCAAATCCTTTAAAAAATATTCCAGAGTTTAATTATAATGATCAGCACATTATTTAGCTGTTAGATGTAAATTTTGTTCTTTTTTAAAGTGAAATTCTTTGGGGTTTTAAATCATAGAATTTTTGCTTCTTTTTCCCCTTCAGAAAGAACTAGAGAAACAGAAGAGAATTAAAAGAAATCAAGAGTTGGAAGCAGTAGCCAAAGGTCATTATGAAAAGATCTTGCTAAGGAAAAAAGGTCTGGAGCCCTGGAAGAGACTGAGAATGCAAAGCAAGCAAAACATTGAGGTGATGTCACCATCATGGTATCAGCCCCAAATTAGAAAGTAGGCTTTCTCGGATAACATGAACACCCAGTCAGGCTTTAGAGTGAGGGGACTCTAAAATTTAGTAATTTTAAAAGCCAGAACAATAACTGCCTGGAGTATGTATGTTTTTGTTTTGAGCAAGAGTCTAGGTTTGATTATCTAAATACTTGTAATTTAACAGGTTTTGGAAAGTAGAATGATTTTATTAGAGATTACTACTATTGGAGGAATAGAGGTGACTCAATTTTATCATGGTTTCTAACAGAGAGAAAGTAATAAGCATGGCTGATCTCTGCTATAATAAAGTCCATAGACAAACCCAGAATCTCAGTGCATTACAGCGTACTACTGTTCTCGCCAGAGTCTGCAGGCCACTTGTAGCTTTGCTCCCAGTCTCTCCCCAGCCCTCCTTGCTGGTTTCAGAGCTGCTCAGGTTGTTCCTTTCACCTAGCAATTAACTAACAGGTATAACAAGCCAAATTACATAAGCCCTCTGTCAGCCTCTGCTGTCCATCTCCCTGCTCTGAGTCCCGTCTCCCAGGTCCTTGTGATCTCCATCCAAAATAGAGAGTGTTGAGTACAGCATAGGCAAAGTTGATTGCAGAATAAAGTGAATGGGGTGGCAGTGCAGTGAACAAGAGACTACACTGTTCCACTTGCCATTTTAAGGCAAACATACTATGCCTAAAGTGTCTAGAAACAGCAGCTTTTCCTGAGGGACGTGGTCTGTCCAGTTGTGACACACCCAGTTGGATAACTCAGCTAAGAGAAGGCAATGTGTATCTTTATTAGAAAGCCTCCAAGTAGATGGTAATCTTTGAGGCTTAGAAGATAGTTATCAGGTCTGGAGAGGAGGCTCACTGATTGAGTACTTGATCTTGCTGAGAACCAGTGTTCATTTCCTAGCACCTTTGAGTGGCTGTCAACAGGCTGTTTCTTCAGACTCCAAGGAATCTAATACTTTCTTCTGGCCTCTGTGGGCATGAACATAAACTGACACATAATAAAAATAAAATAAATTATAGATAACTTTTTATTCTGGCCATTTGGAATGTCATGTCTCTTCCCAGGACTGAAGCCATATTCAGATCCCATTCTTTTGAGTGGTAATCAGCCATTTTTGAAACCATAGCTCAAGGCCTTGATTTCAAAATGCTGCTCATTATGAGGTGAAGGTTCATTCCCAGTGTCGTCCAGGCTGATAATCTAACTGGCTATCTAACACTGCCCACTAATATTTCACTGAGCAGAGCAACCATAAGGCCAGTCTCAAGGTCACTAAGAAGGGATAAGGCTCCATCTACTCTATTGGGTGGTGCTGTGAAATCACAATGCTATTGTAGAGAGCAGCAATCTGCTCGGCCACAGGGATCCTTGAAATCTAACACCAATAACATGTCTCACATTACCCTAACAAATTTATCCAGTACACAGAATGTTCAAATAAATGGTCAAGAAGTTCAAACAGATGGAATGTTATTCTGCCTTTGGCTGCCAGGTTTTATGTGTCACAGAGCCCCATGTGATGGCTGCTCTGGCCAGTAAATATGATTAGCAGGATATCTGGGAGGCAGCATGTTCACAGTGATGGGTAGTTAGATGAGACCTAGAGAAATGTGTCACTGTTCTAGAAAGAACTACAGTGAAAGGGTCTTTTCTCCTGTCTGTTGAAGGGACACAACCATCTCTTTCATACATAAAAACTGAGTTGTATTTATTTTGGATGATACTCTCAGCTACTTAAATTGGTAAGATATTAAAATATTCATCATGTTATTTTTGTATCAATGGTTTTGTGGTTTATTGATAATGTCTAAATTTCAGTCATGGTGACAGTTCATTCTACAAACTAATTGAAAGTATTGGCATTTCCTCAATTAGACAGTGGTTAAGTATATAATAAAAGAGTGGTCTGTTATGGAATTGCTGTCTAAGTTCCAGCAGAGGAAACTGAAGAGCACTGCCAGCCACCCAGTCCAAAGGTTAGTGGGCATGAAGGGATGGCTTGAAAGCTGCTTATCCCATTTCCATAACCAGCCAGTCTCTGACCTCCAGGGAGTCAGCACTGAAAGAACATCCATGACCTCCACAGAACAAGGCTGCTACTCTGTCTCTTAGATCATAGACTATAGGCAACTCAATATTCTTGTCTAGTGACTGTCTAAACCTGCTATGCAGTATCATTTTCCTAGCTGTCTATGTCTCCTTAAGTGATTTACAATTTAAGGAATAAGTTCCACTTTTCATTAAAAATTTTCCAGGTAGCAGAAGAGTATCACTCTTTGGCTTTACAAAGAAAATGCCTGCTCAGCTGGTTCCAGTATAGCCAGGAAAGTCTGGCTACGAAGACAGCCAAGGCTGATCAGTTTTACTCCCAACTATTGTATAGGAGAGTCATCCGAAGCTGGCTCCAG